TCCTTGTAGCATGTACAAATACTTCATTACTTTTGTTACTTAAGGCCTTCCTTTATTTTATTTTTTTCCCTAGCATTGCTGTATATGATTTAGGTGGTGGGACTTTTGATATTTCTGTCCTGGAAATCCAGAAAGGAGTATTTGAGGTTAAGTCCACCAATGGAGACACTTTCTTAGGTGGTGAAGACTTTGACCAGGCCTTGCTACAACACATTGTGAAGGAGTTTAAAAGAGAGGTTAGTTATTGGTGTGGTTAATCTGTAAACATCAGGATGTGAAAATTTCCATATTCAGATAGCTGCTCAGAGTAGAACACTGAAATATTTGTATTTCTGTTTGAAAGTAATTGTACAATATTGAAAAAGGAATTCTGGGAACTCCTTTTTTTGAACTAGACTTCTACAGTTAAAAAAAAACTGAAATCAGTTCTGCCTTCTAACTCCAGGCATAGATAGCCCTTTTAGAATAACTTTTCTTTTCCCTACAGATTTTTAAAGAAAAGAAGTCATGTATGCTTGTTTATGAAGTTATAGCTCTGTTTTGTGTTAACAGCATATCACTGCAATTTAAGAGTATTTATTACCTCACTAATACTAGTGTTTTTGTCTTAACTTTGTAGACGGGAGTTGATTTGACCAAAGACAACATGGCACTTCAAAGAGTTCGGGAAGCTGCTGAGAAGGCTAAGTGTGAACTCTCCTCATCTGTGCAGGTGAGACAAGGACAAATCCCAGCAGTCTTGATGGATCTTTTAAGCCTGAGCTTACTTTAATAGCATATTTTATTTGTCTTACTGTTTTCTGATTGGTGGTAAAAACCTTTCCATGAGCATAGGAACCCGGTGTTGTATGTATGTGTTTTAATGGATGACCTAAATTTGTTAACCGTCCAAATCAGAGGTTATGTGTACTGGAGCTAAAATCTAGACTAGCAGTGTGAAAAACTATTAATTGCTAACCTGTAAACACCAGGAGACTCTCAGCACTACTATCTTCACTTAACTCAATATACCTTTGTGTTAGTCTCTAGTAGTTTCTCCTTTAATTTGATTTACCGATCTAGAAAGTGAGCTATGAAGGCTGGCCTTTATACATCCGAGCAAGTTTTTCCCCCTGGGCATCAGACTTGCTCAGCATGTTTTAAGGTGTCAGCCAATCCTGCTTCATTTCAGAGAGATGAAGCTTCACTTTGCTTTAATATCCAAGAATAGAATTGTAGAAAGTATGGTAGATCTGGGTCAGAGACAAACAAGGTGGAAGGCAAGGGATTTAATATCAGGTTCTTAGGTGGCAGAGAAACAGAGCCTGTGACTTCGTTAGTTTGATTACCACTGGGAAGAGGAGAAGAAGTATTTATCAAGTCAAACCTGGAATTTTTTTTTAAGTAGCTATGAGCAATGACAAAGTTGTACAAAGGGATCCAGGATGATGATGTTGCTTTGTTTCCTGCTATCACACAGAGTGGCAGAACTTTGCAACATGATGGGTTAGGGTTGAAATATTGCAGTAGTGCCAAAGAATAGCTTATTATTCTTCCCAGGGGTCTGACACTTTTTGGAGGCGAAGGTTGGTTGGTTTTTATATGGCTGCACAGTAAGTCCTCACTTGATGTCATCAGTAGGTCCTAGGAATTTTAAGCAAAATGTTGTATAAGGAAACCAGTTTTTCATAGGCTATTTGATAAATTCCAATGGCATCTCATCAATGTTTTGTTATTCAAAGACCTGCTGTATCCTATTGATTGGCATTAGGGTTATTTTTTTTTCCTCAGCATTTTGTCATTATAGCAAGGAATATTGAGCATCCTTGTACATAAATGTTTGTGCATGTGTGATTGTAAACCTCTAGAATCAATTCTGAGAAACACTACCCTTGTTCGTATAGTTCAGTGTAGCGTGGGAGGTGAGCATTATTAAGAATATAAAATGTCAAGCCAGAAGTAACATAATGTAAAGGTTAAGAGTGGCTCTACAAGTAGACTGTTGGGGTTTGGATCCTATTTTATCACTTAGCAGTGTGACCTTGGGTGAATGCCTTAACATTTCCATTCTGTAAAATACAGATAACAGTGCTTCTTTTCCCCTTAGAATTTCTAGGATTACTAAATTCATACAAACATGTAACATGCTTAGAACAACATGAGTACTCTGAATGTAAGTTATTAATGTAGTAAAAAGGCAAAGTTAGATTTATAATAGAGGAACCTGACAGTTGACCAGAGGTGTTGGACATAGCAAGTCTGAAAGTTAATTAGGAAATGCTGAGTTAATCAAGTATGAAGTACTAAGACGGGGTCAGTGTGGCTGAAATGCAGATGTGCATGGGAGCATGGGACGGGGGGCTAGAGCTCCTTTATAGATTTGTGTGTTTTGGTATCTGTTCTGAGTGAGTATAAACCACTAAAAACTTTGTGTGGGGGCAATAACATGGTCAGATTTGGGTTTATGAAAAGCACTTTGGCCAAGATAGAGCACAGTTTTATTTTCAGTGGGGAAGTGTTCTGTTGTAGAAGGCAACCTGAGTGGATGTGGGCAATTACTGGGAGGTTATTGTAGCACACCAGGTGGTAAGAGAGAGGACTGATATTGAAAGATACTTGGATTTGAGAAAAATGAAGGATAAAACTGATGAACTGGTTTTATAGAGTTGAGAGCCCTGGAATTTTTCAGGTTGTCATTAACTGATAGCATATAGAACTACACTAAAACAATAGGGTATTTAAAATTAAATACAAGTTTTAAATTATGTTCCTCAGTAGTGTTAGCTGTATTTCAGGAGCTCAGCCATAAGTGGCTATTGGCTGCTGAATTGAACAACGTTGTTGTTGTCACAAAAAGTTCTATTGAATCATATTGGTTTGGATGATGCAGTTCTGTTGTTAATTAGTATTATTGACATTTTGCAAAGAAAGAAGTAAATTGTCAACAGTGTTCTTAAAGGCAAAACCCAGTAACACTGTTTTTACAGAAGATGTGTTAACTCTCATATTAAGTATTTAATAGTCCCAGTTCTTTACCCAAGGAAATGGTTAAGGATTTGCTCCCCTCCATCTTTAATCTCTGTGGGCCTTGCTTTGGTGTGAAGTTAGAGGAGAGGCATAAGGTAATTCTGTTCCCGAGGGCCCACCCCTAAGACATCTGTTTCAGCATGTTCATTTTTTTGGTCTAAATATTATTTTTTTTAAATACATTTTTTTATCTCAGGGGAAAGAGAGAAACATCTATAATGAGAGAATCAATAATTGGCTACCTCCTGCACATCCGCTACTGGAGATCTAGCCCGAAACCCGGGCATATGCCCTGATTAGGAATTGAACCGTGACCTCCTGGTCCATAGGTCGATGCTCAACCCCTGAGCCACGCTAGGCAGGCCTAAATATTCTTAATCCATACCTTAATAGCATTTGGGGTTTATTAAATACTAGATATTATATGCCTGTGACTGTGGCCATGTTAGCAGCTATCTGTGGATATGATGGCAGTCCTTGTAGTTAAAGAGCATCTCTGTAGCTTTCTAATCATCTTCCTGAAACTAATAAAGCCCTGGCTTGGTGGCACACTATTTGGTTCAGAGCCTATCTTGGATGTGTGGTGTTTTTTTTTAACTACATGGAATATTTTTAAACTTGGTGGAAAAAACAGTAGTGCTTTTTTCCTTTAAAAATATATATTTCTTTATTGGTTTCAGAGAGAAAGGGAGAGAGAAAGAGAGACATCATTGATTATGTCCTGCATGCCCCACATTAGGGATTGAGCTTGCAACCCAGGTGTGTACCCTTGTCTGGGAATCGAACTGTGACCTTCTGGTTCATAGGTCTATGCTCAGCTGAGATACACTGGCTGGGCTATAGTATGATTCTTAATGTACAGAGTGGGACAAAACTATGCTTACAGTTTGTATAGAAAATACAGTAATTAATATAGGAATGAACTGTTACGTGTATTTTGCCCCACCCTATATATTTAGTAGTAGAATACTTCTTGTCTCTTTAACAGGGATTTTTCCTGTTTCTCTCCTGGTCTTCATTGTTTAATAATAAAATTTTGAAGTATTTTTACTTTTGGAAAGATAAGAGTTGGACTCTTAAAGAGTCACTGTTGTTTAGTAGCTATTCCTTTAAAGTAGGTCTGACCATTAAAGGAATAGCTATAGACTTCAAAGTCTTCCTGTCCTACAGTATTCATTGAATAAAGAAACTTCACCACTACTGATCCTCCCTCCTTCCTTTATAGACTGACATCAATTTGCCATATCTTACAATGGATGCATCTGGACCTAAGCATTTGAATATGAAGCTGACCCGGGCTCAGTTTGAGGGGATTGTTGCTGAGCTAATCAGGAGGACCATTGCACCATGCCAGAAAGCCATGCAAGATGCAGAAGTCAGCAAGAGTGACATAGGAGAAGTGATTCTTGTTGGTGGCATGACTAGAATGCCCAAGGTATGGATGGATCCATGGAATTCTCAGCCTGGCGAGCAGAGAGGACCTGCATATGTTTTTTGGGAAGAAACAAATGGCTTATGTGTCAGGATATGAATATGTGGTCTTTCTTCCATGATGATCCAGAAAAGATGAATTTGTGCTTTTAACTAAAGAGTTCTTTTCAGCCTCTTTTTAAAATACAAGGATATAAGAAAAAGGATTAGGAAGGGCAAAATGTCCATGGGGTGATGACATGGAGGATTCTGAACTTCAGTCTTGAAGAATTTTTAGGAATGAACATGAGGTCAGAGATAGCTTAAAACCTTGATACTGCCCTGGCTGGTATGGTTCAGTTGCTTGGGCATCATCTTGTGCACTGAACGTTCGCTGGTTTGATTCCCAAGCAGAGCATATGCCCAGGTTGATGTTTCTCTCCTTTCCTCTAAAAATCAGTTACAAAGTGTGTGTGTATATATTAAAACCTTGACACCAACTGGCCTCTGTGGAACAATTTTGGGCATGTGTCTTTACAGCATAGTGTTCAAGGCTTTTAATTGTACCTCTTCAACAAAGATTTGTGCAATGATGCATTCTATTTATCAACACATCATTCTGAAAAGACAGATGTGTAGAAAGTTAATGACTGAGCACAGAAACTGTTGATGGTGCAATTCTTTATGACTTCTATAGAATTATCTTGGGCTTTGATATTTTCTTAAATTTTCAAGTATGTGGGCCTAGGAAAATATGCACAGAATAAATCTGCAGAGAAAATGAGAGGCTTTGGACCTAGATTATATTATTAACAAATATCCTAGATGCTATTTAAATAGCACTTTTTCCTAGCATTATTTTAAAAAGGAGGGAAGAGCACATCCCATGTTGGCGTCACTGTTGTCATTGTATGGCCTCTGCACTGCTTCCTTTTAGTTTGTAGTCGATATGTAGATCACCTGCCTCCTGCATGCCTTCTACAGGGAATCAACCCATAATCTTTCCGTGCACCAGACAATGCCCATCCAACTGAGCCATACCAACCAGGGCTACCCATTTCTAATGCAATGTATTGTATGGGAAACCAGATAACAAACTTACACAAATTCTTCCCAAATTTAAAGGGCTATGAATGACATGTGAGTAAAGTATATGAGTGTTACCTACATGATGTACTCAGATCATTAATAAGCATTCAACTATGAAATACTAGTAATTTGAGTGAAATTCTTGGATCTAAAGCAACTTATCCTACAATTTAATTTGGTACGGTCTTGGTACATGTGTTCTCTCTCTCCCCTTCTTGGGCAGTTAGTTGCTTTGAGTAGTGGGTGACAGATTATTTTTTTCTTTGTGCTCAGGTTCAGCAGACTGTGCAGGATCTCTTTGGCCGAGCCCCAAGTAAAGCTGTCAATCCTGACGAGGCTGTGGCCATGGGAGCTGCCATTCAGGGAGGTGTGTTGGCTGGTGATGTCACAGATGTGCTGCTCCTGGATGTCACTCCCCTTTCTTTGGGTATTGAGACTCTGGGAGGTGTATTTACCAAGCTTATTAACAGGAACACCACTATTCCAACCAAGAAAAGTCAGGTAAGAGCCACGGTTCTGTGAGGGATGTGATTGCAGCCATTTTTGTGAGCTTTTCCTGGAAAATTTCACTCTTTAACTTACCAAAAGAAGCCTCATCATTTGGGACTGAATTCTCCTCTTCTATTATAAAAGGCAATAAAAAAATGGCTTGGCCAAGTCAGTGCAATGAGCTTCTATTATGGGTGAATGATGGTTGTCCTGTTATGGCAGGCAGGGCTATTTGGACGGTGATTGGGGTCTTTGGATTAACTTTTCCAAATTTTGATGTTTTTATGAAAAATTGGCTATTGCTATATTTGTGCTATGATGATGTATTGTCAACACATCATTCTGAAGAAAAGTATGTGGTGACATCCTGTTACTGAGCATAAAATGCATGTCCTATCTCTGACCTATTTCCCCAGATGAGCGTGTTTCAACATCTCGTTTTTTTGGCACCTTCTCTTGAAGCCTTCTGTGCCAATGCTGCATCTTTTTACAGTGCATTTGCTGCTTAGAGAACCAATAGCTATTGCATGCCCTTATGGTGTGCTAATCCTCCTTTCGTTCCCTGCAAAAGACTTAAGCCTTTGTCCTGAAAATAGTGTACATTAGGACTCTTTCAGTATTACAGTGTGAGTTTCTTTCTTTGGCTTGTCCTCTGTATAAGGAGAGTGGTTTTCATTAGATAGCCAACCCAGAGAGTTTCTTTTTCCTTAGGTGTTTTCTACAGCTGCTGATGGTCAGACTCAAGTGGAGATTAAAGTGTGCCAGGGTGAGAGAGAGATGGCTGGAGACAACAAACTTCTTGGACAGTTTACTTTGGTGAGTATTGGGAATCCTAAATATGTTTCTTTTTTTTATTGTACAGTTAGACTGTATTTCAACCCCTATTGATATTACTATAAATTGCTGAAACACGGGTGGTAGTCTATTTTCTTAATATAGTGTACATACAAATTCTGCAACTAAAGAGCCCTTCAGTTTTTACATGAAAGCCTTGCTTGTGCCTTAGGAACTTTAAAAATATAGTATATATAATGGAGGCCTGGTGCACGAAATTTGTGCACTGGATTTGGGGGGGGGGGGGTGTCCCCCCCTCAGGCCCAGCCTGCACTCTCTCGCAGTCTAGTACCCCTGCTCCTTACCACTCTGCTTGCCTCTCCTTAGCACTGCCGCAGAAGTGGGAGAGGCTCCTGCTGCTGTGCTCACCAGCCCTGAGCCCAGCTTCTGTCTGAGCAACCAGTTGTTCCGCCATAACAGTCCCTTAGGCTTTTATTATATAGACTAGATGCCTGGTGCACTGGTGGGGTCCCTTGGCCTGGCCTGCGCCCTCTCGCAATCTGGGACCCCTTGGAGGATGTCAGACTGCCAGTTTCAGTCCCATCCCTTGCCTCCATGAGCTCAGTGTTTGGCAGCCATTAGTCAGCTGAGTGGCTCTCCCACTGTAGGAGCGCACTGACCACTAGCATCTGTCCCCTGGTGTTCAGAGCACATGACAGCATTTGTTCATTCAGGCTTTTATATGTATAGATAGAGAAGATATGAGAGTGAAGTGTTCATAGACGTTGCTATTTAGGAGATATTTTTAGTTACTAATTTAAGAGACATTTGATATTATTGGCTTCTAATTAGTGTTGCTTACTGGTTCTTGGTGAGATGAACAGTAATGAGGTTTGCTGCTATTATTGTGTCCCCAAATACATAATAATGATCACTAGCTACAACCAGTCTTTACTGGCATGAGCCCCATTTTAGGAAGCAAAGGAAGTACTACCTTTACTTCTACATTTCAGTGAAACTATAGCTGGTTCCTCCCAGGAACCAAATGACTTTTTCCACAGAAAACTGTATAGGTTTGAAACTAGAGCACTATACCTCTTTGTGAGAAGAGCTTAATCTGTGTATTTACTTACTTTAGATTGGAATTCCCCCAGCCCCACGAGGAGTCCCTCAGATAGAAGTTACATTTGACATTGATGCCAATGGGATTGTACATGTTTCTGCCAAAGATAAGGGTACAGGACGTGAGCAGCAGAGTAAGTGTTCTTATTTATCAGACTATATGGATGAGGTAAGAGACCTTGGAGTTTCTTTCTGGTGGGAACTAGACTCTCTAGGTTGTACATATCTTTTTCTAGCCTTGGGAGAATGATTCCTTTTAGCCCGTTTTCTCAGTTTGATCAGATTTACATTATTGGGGTGTTTATTCCCTAAAATAGGCAAGCACCGAACCTCTGGATTGCTAAGCTTAAAGTTTTGCCAGAGTGGCAGGATAGTTGGTCTTTGTGTATGTCAGATATTTGTTTCCTTCTGTCTGTCATAGGACAATAGGGTATTCCTCTTCATAATTTACATTAAGATTGGCTATTCTGAGCAGGCATATTGTTTTCCTCAATACAAATAGATGGTGAGATAAATAATTTTGCCAGGGAAGTAACAAGATGTTTTCTTTCCATTGTAGTCGTGATCCAGTCTTCTGGTGGGCTAAGCAAAGATGATATTGAAAATATGGTTAAAAACGCAGAGAAGTATGCTGAGGAAGACAGGCGAAAGAAGGTGATTGGTATTTTCTCTCTTTTCAGCTGGGAGGTGAAAGTGGGAGTTTAGACATTTATCTTTGATCTTATATCTTCTGTTATCCTCAATTTATCCTCTTTCCCCCTTTGCTGTAATTTATTTGGAATGCCTTTATTTATTCCAAGTCTTACCATATCACACCAACCAGAGTGATTTCTCCCCCTTACTATTTTTACTTTTAACTATATGTAGCATTCAGCATGTTGTCTTTCCCAGTGAGGACTTTCAGCCAACCAGTTGGGAAGTCTTCATTTTCTAATGTCTCTTAGGAACGAGTTGAAGCAGTTAATATGGCTGAAGGAATCATCCATGATACAGAAAGCAAGATGGAGGAATTCAAGGACCAATTGCCTGCTGATGAGGTGAGCCCTTTTTTATAATACAATAGTTCAAGAAGTTGGTAGGCATTGTCACTGGTGTCAATAAAGATTGTGTGGGTCTTGATAGGAATTTAGTTTTTTTAAAATGTTTCTGAATATTACTGCTTCGTGTAATTGTAATAGGATAAGAAAACCTGGAAAACTGAGAGCTTTGTTTTATTTTCTTTTTAAGTGCAACAAACTAAAAGAGGAGATTTCCAAAATGAGAGAGCTCCTGGCTCGAAAAGATAGTGAAACTGGAGAAAACATAAGGCAGGCAGCATCTTCCCTTCAGCAAGCGTCATTGAAGCTCTTTGAAATGGCATACAAAAAGGTACAAGGACTAAAGGGTGGTTTTTTTGGGAGTTTTTTTTTTTGTTTTGTTTTTTTAAATCAATCTTTATTGTTCATATTATTACAAAGCTTCATCATTTCTTCCCCCCTCCACCAGGTTCCCACCCCACCCTCCGCCCCCTTCCCATCCCCTATTGTCCTCATCCGTAGGTGCACAGTTTATGTTCAGTCTCTTCCTCTGAAGGGTGTTTTGCTCAATGATTTTCCTTCTCATCTGATCTTAATAAAACTGCTCTTGATGACTCACTGGTGGCTCCCTACATAGCCATTTTATAGAACGGGAGTGTTTTATAAAGACTATCCTTCCTTCTATGAAGAAGTATCCTTCTTGATTTGTTTTGAAGGTCAAAGGGAAGGAGTTACAGAAACCACCAGTAGTGTACAGAGGGCGAGGGGGGATGGAACAGGTGGGATATGGCTCCAGAGAGCAAGCTACCAGCCTTAACATTAAATGAGTGACTACCAAATGTTTTTTTTTAACAGATGGCCTCTGAGCGAGAAGGCTCTGGAAGTTCTAGTGCTGGGGAACAAAAGGAAGATCAAAAAGAGGAGAAACAGTAATAACAAAACTTTGGAGCCAAAAGGACAACATATGACGCTTGGGAGTGAAGAGACTACCTGAGCAGAAATGGGCAGACTTCAGTCTTTTACTGTGTTTTTGCAGTATTCTATATATAATTTCCTTAATATGTAAATTTAGTGACTTAGCTAATGATCATTTAATGAGTGATAATTCCAACAGTAACAAAGCTCACAATGTTCTGTCTGTCCCTAACCTACCATTTTTCAGCTGCACG